ACAAATGCCTGTCATGTCGACCACAGAGTGTCCACACTAGAGCACTGTGCCGCAGCCATTTTAATGTAAATGAAGCTGCAATTATTTAAATCGCCGCTTCATTTCCCTTTGCCAAGTAAACAAATCTACAGTAGACATACCCTTAAAGTGCTGCAGGTGCCCTGATGTAGCTGTGCCACTGTGGCACTTAGGCCTTGTCTATACTGGCACATTTTGTCACCAAAAACGGCCTTTTGATGACAAAACATTGGGGCTATGTCTACCCTGTGGGAACAAGTAAATAACTTTTCCTTATTCACTTTTGACACCAGTCATGATTTTATAGACATCTATCATATCCTCCCTCAACTTCCCCCCTCCCTCCACCGCCTTAGTCTCCTCTTTTCTAAGCCGAAAAGTCCAAGTCTTTTTAATCTTTCTTCATATAGGACCCATTACAAACCCCAGTCATTTTTGTTGCCCTTTTCTGAAACTTTTCCAATGCCAATATATCTTTTTTGAGATGAGGAGACCACATCTGTATGCAGTATTCAAGATGTGGGCGTACCATGGCTTTATATAGAGGCAATAAGGTATTCTCTGTCTTATTTTCTATCCCTTTTTTAGTGATTCCTAACATTGTTTGCTTTGACTGCCGCTGCACACTGAGTGGCTGTTTTCAGAAAAATATCCACAGTAACTCCAAGATCTCTCTCTTGAGTAGTTGTAGCAAAATTAGTCCCCATCATATTATGTATATAGTTGAGATTATTTTTTCCAATATGCATTACATTACATTTATCAACTTCAAATTTCATTTGCCATTTTGTTGGCCAATCACTTAGTTTGGTGAGATCTTTTTGAAGCTCTTCACAGTCTGATTTGGTCTTAACTTGAGCAGTTTGATATCATCTGCAAACTTTGCCACCTGTTTACTCCTTTCTCCAAATCATTTATAAATAAGTTGAATAGGATTGGTCCCAGGACAGACCTTTGGGGGACACCACTAGTTACCTCTCTCCATTCTGAAAACGTACATTTAAAAAGCAGAGCTGCAGCAAGGCCCATTATTGACAACTCGATTAGCTTACTAACTGCTATTTAACATCCCTAGTTTTTTAGTTGTCTTATGAGTGAGATGGCTGATTTTAGCCTATGCGGTGGCTTTTAGTGTTTTTGTGAAGAAGAAATGGACCTTTTGAAGATTGTGGAGTCTAAACCTTGTGCTTGTTGAAACTTAACTGTTTGGGATGCTTTGTGGAAGACTTGGAAGCCATAGGGACTCGAAATCTTGACTTTTTTTAATCTCTATTTTTTGATAGCGTAGTCTCCATGATTATTCACTACTTGGCTTCTCTGCCAAGACTGACAACAAAGGTGCCAGTTATTGTGAAGGTTTTGTGATGCGGACAACTATTCAAGAGGCACTGCACAGACATTAATAAGTCGGTGTCCATTGGTCACTACATAGCTGTTGGCTGGTAATGATTTTCATTTACTGCTGACCATGGCCAAATTTGAAAGAGGCAAAAGGCATCTATAAACGTTCATAATTTAGGGATGTTAGCGTATAATCATTTAAACAATTAACTGAGAAGCCTGGGATCATCAGAGGCAGCAAGAGGAGAGGAGGCAGGAGCTGGCTTCCCACATATGCTAGTTCCTGTGGAGCTGTTCCCCCCTCTGCTGTTTCCCATAGAGGCAGCAGTGTGGGGGGCAGGTGGCAGCTGGAGTTTAGGGAGAGCTTGCTTAAAAGCCAACTCCCCATGAGCATCAGCTCCTTGGAGACATCTGCTCACACCCTGGTACTGCTGTCTCTGATAGAGAGGTAGCAACACAGAGAGTGAAAGGGGCAGGCTGGAGCTGGTATACGTGGGAATCTGGCATTCAAGCTGGCTCCCCACATGTATTGGATAACCAGGAGCCACCTCTCCCTCCCCCCCCCCCCCCCCTATGCTGCTGCCTCTCTCTCAGAGGCATCAGTGCAGGAGGGATGCAGGCAGGAGTCAATATGCATAGGGAGCCAGCTTCTAAGACAGCTCTCTGCATATGCAGGCTCTATGGAGCCGTTTGCCCCCTCCTACCTTGCTGCCTCCCACGTAGGCAGCAGTAGGGGCAGGTGGGAGTTGCCTTCCCCCCTCACCTGCACTGCTGCCACTGTATCAGAGGCAGCAGCACAGGGGAGGGGCACCATCTGCAGGGAGCTCAGGCCCCCTGTGGACAGGGACTGCTGCTGCGGTGCCGCGACAGGGGCTGCTGCAACCCTATACTTTTGCCTCTGTATCAGAGGCAGCAGTGCAGGATGGCAGAGGGTTCTCCCGGAGTGGGGTCGGAAGCACACTGGCTACCAGTCCTGCCTCTCGGGAGTATTTTAGTAACTGTGTAACTGATAAAAATGTTTGTAGTTATATGATTACTAGAATAAACATTATCTAACATCCCTATCATAAATCCACTATGTAAAAAGTCCAGAACTTTAAAATGCTGTCTCCTGTTTAAAAAAACAACATTTATCCTGAGAGGATTTGGTAGTTCCATAATAATGAAGAAGAAGATACCTCATTCATTATTTTTCCACATTTAGAATAAATATACCAGTACTGCCAGGAGCAACTTGGGCTTTGCTTTTAGATGATTTTAGAGTATTTTGTGGAAATGAAATAAAAAGGCTCAAAGAGTTATTGAAAATTGTTATTTCTAGGGGGAGCGTTTAAGAACAATGACAGCATTCTACCTAAAAGTGGAATGCCGGGTAATGGGAACAAGTGATATATAAGAAAGAAAAGAGAAGTGGGAAATAGTGACAGAGGTTGTTGTGTTTTGGGGGGGGTCTGGTCTTTAAAATTATTGGCAAAAGACAACATACGTGTAAAAAGAGAGACCTGAGAAGTCTTTAAATGTTGTCTTTAATGAAGTCTTCCTAAAGTTGTTATGGTATAAATGGACTCAGAGGGTGCATCCACATTGCACCATTATTTTGAGATAACTAGCATTATTTCAAAATAACAATGTTCAAAATAACACAGCCATTCCATTATATCGAAATAATTTTGAAATAAGGGATGGCTTATTTTGAAATCTGTAAACCTCATTCTACGAGGAATGATGCCTATTCCAAAATAGCCGTTTCAAAATAAGCATGTGTAGATGCTCCACTGCTGCTATTTCAAAATAGAATAAGTTATTCCTCTTCAGTGCCTCCCAGGGCTCTAAATTAAGATAGCACCTCTATCCAGAATATCTTATTTCAAAATAGCTGTGCAGTGTAGATGTACCCAGAGTTAGTAATTTAATCCATCTCCCTGAACTTTTTCAGGATTCTTTTAGAAAAGCCTGTCAGATAATGAGGTTTCATGAGGTTTTCCTTCCATTTTTTTAACCAACTTTATTTACTATCAACCCTCTCTGCCTGTGGTTCTAGTCTACTAGATACTGCACTTCCGTTTCCCCAAAAACATTATTTATTATTAACCATACCTTATTAAATATTAGATATAAAACCATACCTTAGAATCTCCCAGTTTACTAAACGTTAGATCAGATAGAGTTGTCTTCACTTCCTGTCCTAACCTACAGGCTGCAACTAAATGGCTGCCACTTTCCATCTCAGAGGTGACTTCATTTTCATGACAGATAAAGCGACTCCTCTCAGAATATCTGACTGGGCACTTTAGGATCTTGAGGTGGTGGGGTGGAGCACTAGCTAAATGTAAGTTCTGCTTGCAGTCATACAACTTCCAATTCTAATTTTCTTCAGTCTCACCAGTTAAGCAGCATAAAATGATGTT